AACCCTCAACCCTCAACCCTCGACCCTCAACCCTAAACCCCAAGCTCCCTAACCCTCAACCCAAAACCCTAAACCCTTAACCTGGGTTGGGGGAGCCCCCCCCCCCCCACCCCCGCCTGCGGCAACACTGACGCAGAGCAAAGCAGAGAGAGGAAGATCAGCTGGCCTCTGGTTTTTGAGGGTTCAAAAGTAGTAGGGTTTAGGGTTTAGGGTTTAGGGTTTAGGGTTTAGGGTTTAGGGTTTAGGGTTTAGGGTCGCGAGTGAGTAAGAAGCCAGTTGGATTACCATGTCTGCAACATGTCGGCTTAGGTCTACAGGAGCCCAAGCCACAAGCAGAGTGTCTTTTTAAGAAATCATCATGTATAGTGTACAGTATGAGCACAGACCGGGACACAGACTCCTATCAGAACTTGTGTTGTCTTGTTGTTTGTTGTGTTGTTCCTGCTTGGTGGAAAAGAGAGCCCTGCGTAACCCCGCTGTGGAGCTTCTTGCCCACGCGAGGGTTATGAGCCCAACGCTAGGTAAAAGGGCTCTGTAGAAAGTAGACCTTGCCATGGCAAACCTCCCGAATCCTTTCTGGTCAGATGCGGTGCAGCAGGAATTTCGTCGTGCACAACAGATGGTGCAGGAGGACCCTGGGGAAAGAGGTGCAGCTACAAGAGAAGGCGATGAATCTGAACGTGAACCGCCATATGAGTTTGGACCTCAAGCCCAGGAAACTCCTGAGGCCGGAGCAAGTACAGCCAGGGACAATGCGCCCCATGAGCCAGCTTCGTGTCCTGCAGAAGTACATCGTGTTGACCCTGTTGCGCTGGCGACACAGCCACAGGAACCGGAGGCGCTTGCTGCCAGGGAAGCATCGCCAGCTCATTGCAGTGTTACTGGATTGAGTGAGTTTTCGACTCTGGAGCGTGGTGGTGTGAGAGGCCTTGAATCATCGTCACTTAGAGAAGTTGATGACCGAGAGCTAGTTCCTGATTATGGCACGCCACCTGTTGCGACTCAGTCCGGAAATAGAGATCCCTTTGGCGATCTGGGGTCAATGCTACGCGTGCTGATGCAAGGCCAGCAGTCTTTGGTAGAGCGAATGGATAAGCTGGAGAGCTCCAAAGCATCGTCATCGTCTGCAGGTGCAAGCTCTAGTATCTCTGAGCCGCGTCCGAAGGCTGTGTTTCCTCCTCAGTTCGTTGGCAGACCAGCTGTGACAGGCAAGCCGGCTAACCTTGGGGAAACTGGGACGGGACCTGGTGGGGAAATGAGACAACTGGGACCGCCAACTGAGACCCAGGCCCAGGCTCCGAGTGCGGGTGTGGTCGAGCTCGAAGGGTCACAGTACGCCTGGCGAATCACGCCCGAAGGATTGAAACTAGAGAAACAGGCCATGTCCGTAGCTGAGGTTTTGAACCCCAGGGCTAGGTCACCCTTTGTACCCGTCGCTCCCACTAGGAACCCAAACCAAACCCAAGAGCCTGGGAATCGGAATGAAAGCCGTGAAAGGTCGCACCAACCTGTCAGGACGTCAGGGGCGTCAAAGCTCTTGGATGTTGGCGGGGGCAGTGTTGAAGGAGGTCTTTGGGCGGACCTAAAACCAAAACCGCCGGAAGGGTTTTTCAGCAACGTGGCTGATTTGGCGGCCCCGAAAGCAAAAACACCTCAAGAGTTGTTGGGAGATGTGGGCGAGGCTCTCGAAGCAAGCCGGGGAAGTCCCCACGCCGAGAGCCCACGCAACATCAAAACGTTTGAGTCGCTGTCTGGGAGCGACGTCTTGAGTGATATTGCTGAGGAGTTTGAGCGAAACCACCCTCACAACGTTTGCAAGTTGACGCTGTGTGTTGAAACAGCGAGAGTGCTGAATCAGAGTGCGGACGAGCTCGAGTCCTTGAAGCTTGAGTTTGAGAGCTTGTGGTTGAGAGGGCATTTAAATGGCCGTCCTTCATTACAATCCCAAACCTGTCAACAAATCCCGGCCGGAGTAGGTTTGGACTCTAAGATTGAGAAGCTCTCAGGGCCGAGGGCGAAGGATAATGAGCCCCCAGAACAGAGTTCGGGGGAGAGGCCGTGTAATCAACTAGGTGCCGGTCAGATTGCTTTTGTGGTGCCTGGAATGTCCACTCCTTGTTGCGGCGATGTCGTTTTCGTCGTGGGTTGGACGTGCTGGAGTCAGATGTGGTATAAACTTTCGGCTTCGTCGGGGGCTTGGCGTGTTGCTGAAGACGCGGGCGGACCAGTTGACGAAGGGCGAGGGTATGGCATTGTCCTTGAGTGTAGCATGGAAGCTGCTAGAGGGGATAGTGGAGACAATGAGCCACCGGGGCGCCCGCATCGCGATGATGAGATGACGGGGTGGGACCCGAGTGGAGAGAAGTCTCAATGCTGGCCCCGTGCGGCTAGCAATGAAGTGTTTCATCAGAAAGAGCATGATCGTGGACGCTGCGCCGTTATACTGAAGTTGGTGGTGCTAGCACTTTCGTGTTGGTGCGCCCTGGTCTGTCTGTATCATCAATCCGTTGCACTCTTTTGTGTGCCGAGGGCAAATCGGCCGGATTGTTGTCCGCTTGTGGCCCCGGCCCTGGCTTCCAGGGCCAAGCAGTAGTAGTAGTAGCATCTGTGCAAAACGGTATACTTTTTCTGCACATGTTTGTTATGTTGACGGTCTTCCTGCCACTGCAAATTGACATGATCTGGGCACAGCGACTTTTCTGCCATGATACCATAAAGGTTTTAGTTCATCCAGAAACATCAGCATTTAATTTTTTTCATGCAGAAGATGTTTTCCTTAACTTATCTTTTCCTCCACTGATCTGTCCACCGCAGGACGTGAAAGCTCATTCAGAACATCAGGTTTAGTTTTTTTCATGCAGAAGATGTTTTTTTCCTTATTTTTTCCTCCACTGATCTGTCCACCGCAGGACATGAAACGACCTAAAACGAAGGACCCAGTTACTAATCGGAAAGGACCCAGTTACCAACGGAAGCTCATTTAGTTTACTTGTGCTTTTTTCAAAGCGTTTTTCCAGGTGAAGGTGCGCGGCATTCGGATCGAGCTGGAAGCCTTGGAGCAGGCGATCGTGGAGTTGCCGGCGGTGAAGCACTGCGAGGCCGGCTTTTTGGAGCTGTAAGACTGCAGTGAGACTGTTGAAGTTAGTCAGACGGTTGAAATTCGTAGCGACCGAACTGCGAGGCTCGTGTTCTGGACGGCCAGAGTTTGGTGCTGCTGGCTTCAGGAACTTCAGGGGATGTTTCGGAGGCGGAGCTGAAAGCGACGGCCGCGTCGCTGGGCCGTGGCTACGTTCTGAGCCAGGTGAAGATCGTAGAGAACGACGGCTGGAAGTTCAACGCCTCCGGAAAGCTCTTGCGGAATGTGGTTCCTCTGGATGAGGAGATGACTGCGGAGGTGAAGAAAGATGGCTGGGAGGCCTTCGATAAGACCGGGGTGTCAGATCTCGAGCTCGAAATCGCAGCTTGCTTGGCTCCGCAGCTGAACGTCGCGGAGTGGAGCCGAGACTCCCATTTCATGGAAGATCTCGGCGTCGACTCCGGAGGTTTCGGACGACTGATCTCTCAGATGAGGTCCAAGCCGAGGCTGCAGAAGATCGACCTGCAGATGCTCTTTGACCGCCCCACAGTTCGATCGTTGGCCGCCGCTCTTGCTGAGCAGTCAGCAGAATCAGACTCTGAGGACGAAGTGAGCCTGGAACAGAACCTGCTGGATTCCTTCCTTGAGGCTGTGAAGGAGCACCCCCACGCCGTCTGCCTCGAGCGGAGCTATGAGTCATTGAGCTACTTGCAGCTGCGTCGTCAGATGATGGCCTATCAGCGGCTCTTGCATGAAGCCAAGCCGTCCAGGGGAAGCGTCGTGCTGCTGTGGTTGACGGTCAGTATCGTGGCTTTCTTTTGTGATCTGAAAAGGTGTGTGGCGCATGTCCGCTGTGTTGCTCTGTTGGCGTTTGCTGCTAAGCAGCAAGGGGGAGGTACCCCAAATCACAAAACAAAAAACAAAAAGCAAAACAGAAAAACCCAAAACCATAAACATGCTTATTGTGAGTTGCTTGCGTGCGCTCCTAAGGAGCTGGACTTGCTTGGTTGCCATTGCTTGCGTGTTTCCCTTGTGTGCGTGAAGCTCTTGGCCGAAGTTGCCACAACACTTGACACTGCTGTAAAGGAGGGGGGAGCCACCCCGGTGGCAGTTCCTCAAAAGCCCAAAAACCCTAAAAATGGCATAATCCTGAACCCAAAAACTGTTGAAAGTCGAGACGTAAGTCCTGTTGCGCAAGAGCAGGCCGTCGCTTGTACCCGTAGTTGCTGTGAGCGTGACTGTGTTGTTTGCAGCAAGTTGCTTGTGAAGCTTGACAGTGCATGCTCGGTTGCAACGTTTGCGGAGGAGCTGTTTGAGCTTGTGTTGCGTGCCGCGCCAGACTTGTCGTTGAACGAGCCGTGTGGCGGTGCTGAGGTGCTTGAGAGTTGTAAAGCTCACTTTGTTGAGCTCGATGTGCAGTTGTTTTTCGACGTTTTTTGGCCAAAGAACCTTGAAGACGCGCCAGTCAGAGCGTGTGACAAGGAGGCCTGCGAGGGCACCATCCTTTCTGAGTTGCTTGTGAAGCGCGAAGAGCTGGAGTGTGAGTTGTGTGCCTTGAGCTTGTGTGGCGAGAGTTCGGTTGTAGTCTGCGTGTGCGAAACATCCTGTCCGGAAATTCTTGATGAGGACGCAGTCCAAGAGGGCACGCTGGAGCAGGTGCTGCAGACAAAGATCATACCGAGCTGGCAATTTCTTCGATGCTTCGAAGTGTGGCAGCAAACAGTACTCACTAAGTGCCTGTCCCTCACTAAGGACCAGCCTGTGTCTGCGACTAAGGTTGTTCAAGTACGACATGCGCATGAATGCCCCAAAACAGTGATACTGACAGTCTGTCTTTGCTTAGCTATTGCGGCTGAGGACCAGGACAGGGTTCGTGGCAGTAAAGAGTGGTCGTTTTTGCTCTGTGTTTTGCTGCAAATCTCAATCACGTCCATTGCTGTTTGGGAAGCACTTAAGGCTTGTTTGAGGGCAGTGTTTCGTCAAGCCGAGGATCTCCTCAGGCCGAGACGCCAAGCCCCAGAAACTGTAGAGCTTTTCATTCCTGAACAGCCCGAAGATGAGTGTGAAGGCCCAGATCTTGATGAGGCCCCCAGGCGAAGGTCCCCGAAAGTAGCGCAGCAGGCGCATGATGTAGAGCCTCAAGGCCGCCCTATCACATTTGCCTTTGCTGATGATGAAGTTCAGGTGTTTGTGCCAGGCCCAGCAATCGCACACGCGAACCCGCCTGAGCCTATGCTAAGAGCTCTAGTAAACGCCCAGCCTAGAGGTCCTTTTTCAAGCGAGGCCCCTACGGCTCGGCTTCCCACCTGTTCCACCCTACGTCCTCAGGGTAGGCTGGCCCGCCCCCACGCTGCAGCCAACTATGAGAGTTAAATGCGCCCGAGGACTTCATCGTGAGCATCCATGGCGTGGACGCACAGAGCTGGAGATTGATGTGAACCTTTTGCTGCCAGGTCCAGTATGAAGTATGTGTGGACTTTTGCTTCCTCTATGCCGGGGACACACCCCAGGCCGGAGTGGAGCATACAGAGACCATCTTCAACGGAGCATTTTGCTTCCAAGAGGCTAAACATGATTCATTCCGGAACAGCATCCCACGCCGCAGGATGCAGTGAAAGCCGTTTCGAAGCTCTTTGCCTCCCATCATACAGTTGGTGACGTGTCACCAAGGGGGAGCGCGAGTGAGTAAGAAGCCAGTTGGATTACCATGTCTGCAACATGTCGGCTTAGGTCTACAGGAGCCCAAGCCACAAGCAGAGTGTCTTTTTAAGAAATCATCATGTATAGTGTACAGTATGAGCACAGACGTTATAGGACACAGACTCCTATCAGAACTTGTGTTGTCTTGTTGTTTGTTGTGTTGTTCCTGCTTGGTGGAAAAGAGAGCCCTGCGTAACCCCGCTGTGGAGCTTCTTGCCCACGCGAGAGGGTTTAGGGTTTAGGGTTTAGGGTTTAGGGTTTAGGGTTTAGGGTGTAGAGTGCAGGGTGTAGGGTTTAGGGTGATGCCTTGCTGAAGACCAAACCTGACAGGATGTGACGAAAGCCAAGCCACCTCAACCCTCCCCTAAACTAAACCCTAAACCCTAAACCCTAAACCCCCCCCCCCCCCCACCCAGTTCGTGTGCAGCGTAAGGAGCCGTCTAAATCTTGAGTGTACATTTCGGCTTTCAAGGTGTGAGGTACACCCTAAACCCTAAACCCTAAACCCTAAACCCTAAACCCTAAACCTAAACTCTACATCCGGCCTCTGACTTCCATGGTGAGGTGCCTGGGCAAATCGAAGCCTGAGCAACGGGTTGAACAGGTAAGGGCTCTACTATTTGCTCAAGGAACCATCCCCCCCAAAAAAAGAAAAAGAACATGTTCTTCCTTATAAGGGTAATGCAGGGATTAATATCTTTCAGTTTTGGGGTTCTTAAGCAAATTGTAGTACCGGGTAGAACTGCTCTCCAAATGCCAGACCCTGAACTTTGCGCTCTAAATGCTAAGCAGCAAACCACCTTTCCGACAGTCAGGGATTTCAGCTGCTTTCTGGTGTGAGCCCCTGACGAAGTTGCGGTCTACTGCCTGTGGAAGGACTCGAATTGGATCAGGACTACAAAAGGGGTCGGAATGCTTTTCTGACTCATAGTCCCTGTGTAATTAGTCTAGAACACCTCCCAGAGCCCTGCTCTAATTATTAAGGCCCTGCATTACAAATACATGGGGGGCGCTCATTCTTTGGGACCAGAATCAAAATCCCTACGAGTGGCGACCCACAGACCCTCCTGATTTTCGTATGAGGATCCTGCAATTAGGGAGTCTTTGTCTGTGCTTTACCCCTATGCAGCGTAGCAAAGTCCCTCACTTAAGCGGAGTGAATGTATGAGACGATAAGGAAATACTCTTAGTAATTATTCTGACCCCTAAAGTATGCAATGTTAGGGTTTAGGGTTTAGGGTTTAGGGGTTATGGTTGATCAACACCACGCAGCATCGGTCGGCCGCCATCTTCACGCTCCAGGACACCTTGTGAAGGTTCGAAGAACTATACCAAGAAGCACCTAGGGTTTAGGGTTTAGGGCTTAGGGTTTACGGTTTAGGGTTAGGGTTTAGGGTTTAGAGTTTGTACGCCATTTTGCACGTAGTCGACCATCTTCCGAATGGTAAGTTTGTTTGCCCACTGGCGTTGAACGGTGAAGGGAACAAGGATGAGCCTGATCTTCATCCCTGAATCGCCTCAAACCCCCCCCCCCCCCCAAACCCCCCCAAAACCCACCCAAACCCCCCACAGCCGCACACAGGACCAACAAACAAAGCTTGACGGACTTCTCTGAAGACGCTCCAGCAACTCCGGCCGCCATGAGCAGGGTGGTGAAGACCTGTGCCGCTGACGTCATGTGCGGATACGCCTTCCACCAGACGAGCAGGAGCACAATCTCGACCGACCTTAGAACTGCGCAGGGAGATAAGAACGATTAACCACAAGATAGTGATTAACGGTTTAGGCCCGTCGGGTTTGGTTTTTTGCTTTACTGTCCTTCTTGAAAGCAGCCAAATCGTTGGTCTATGTTCACCCACATCGCCAAGCACCGATGACGACGAAGAGAAACCATCCGAACTGACGAACTGTGGCTGTTACCACGTGGGCAGGCATGAAGTACCTAAGGTCTTGGGCACCATGCGGGGGGGTAGTGCAGGTTGCTGAGCTACTCGGCAGCCCAAGCCGAAAGGTCCAGGGTATGAGCTTTTGGGCTGGGTTTCGGGGTTCAAGGTAGCGTTCAGTGCAGGGTCCTGTGTACGTACATTCTACCCGAAGCCCTAAACCCTAAACCCTAAACCCCAAACCCTAAACCCTAAACCCTAAAACCAGGGTACTGCGCCACTCTCTGGGTGACCAAGACAGCAGGCAAGCAGGCAGCAGCCGCCGAGAGCGGCACAGGGAAGACTCCAGCAAAGCCTTGGAAGGCAACTCAACCCATACCAAGGGTTTAGGGTTTAGGGTTTAGGGTTTAGGGTTTAGGGTTTAGGGTTTAGGGTTAGGGTTTCGGGTTTAATTTCAGGTTGCGGATTAGGCTGTAGGGTTTAGCAATGCAAAACAGGGCGGGTGTCCTGGTTCTAGGGTTCAGGATGCTTTAAACACCCGAAAGCCATACCCCTAAACCCAGCCAAAGTGGACAACACACTACCAAAAAGGGCCTAAATAGGGTTTAGGGTTTAGGGTTTAGGGTTTAGGGTTTAGGGGCACCGGGAAGCTGGCGACGACGTGTATCAGCCCGCAGACACAGGGCGTCACCAAGGGTGCCGACCACATCACGCACCAAACCTCTTGTGCATCAGGGTCTCGGTGTACTTAGACATTTGGGTTTAGGGTTTAGGGTTTAGGGTTTAGGGTTTAGGGTTTAGGGTTGTTGCAACACACACACACAATTGTTTGTAGACCTAATTGCACGTACTGCTCGGTCCTACAGATACTAACGTGTTCTGTCTTGCTAAAGCCTTGAAGTGCTACTGCACCCTTTGTACAACTTTCCGAATCCCCCCTTTAAATCCCCGAACTCCCACCTCTGCGAGGTCTTCGGGACGGAAAGCACGTGTCCAAACTGCAAGCATACAGCGACCGGCGATGTAGTTGAGGGCAAAGATGTGCGCGATCAAGTAGGTCCAATTAGCCCACATCCCACCTGCAGGGATTAATTAGGTTAGGGTGTGTGCATATACAGCACTGCATTTGCGCGACATGCAATATATATATATATATATATATATATATATATACATATATATATATAAATACTACAAATGCAGTACGTGGATCCTTCTGAAAGTTCGCCCATGTCCCGCCAGCAGGATCTGCAAAGGGAATGACAAAGGGCCAGTAGTTGAAGCATGCGACCAGGGGAATAATCAGCAAAACCTTGAGGCTTCTCAGGATTCTCGTGCGTCTGCCGGGTTCCGCGGCGGAATGGTCCAGCAAGTACTGTGCCATCTGAATCTCCGCGACGTCGAAGAGCACAACTATGGAGGCTTCTCCCTTCGTGTCCCCGACAGCTGGCGAGAATCTACTTCCAGTTACCCTATATACAACCCTATGACACGACATAGAACCTCCAGTAGTTTTCGAAGCCTATCTACCCGAAGATGCCCAAAGGATTGGTGCAAGGTTTGTGATTACCCCTCGGCCCACCTTGCTACTCCACTGCTTTGAAACCCTAAACCCTAAACCCTAAACCCTAAACTCTAAACCCTAAACCCTAAACCCTAAATCCCATGAGATCTTCGAAGCTGCCGAGGGTGGAGGTCTTGGGCCGATAGCATCCTGACATGCGGAGATGGTGGCCCGACAAGACTGAGGCACACTAGGGTTTAGGGTTTAGGGTTTAGGGCTTAGGGATTCGAGCGGTTGGTTTAGGGTATAGGGCTTATAGGGGGTCAAAAAAGTCGTCAAAAGTGGACTACTTTTAACCTTACCGCAACCCAACGCAAATAAGATGAAGACATATATGTCAAATGAGCCCCAGTGTCCAAGCTGTCCAGGTCCGCCGGTGCGATCTTGCCGCCGCGCGAGCAAAGCCTTCCAGAAACTACGACTACCACTACTGCGACCACCGTTGGCACCACCACAGCCACCACCTCTTCCGCTTCCAGTGTGAGCTTAACCTACCCTACACAATATGGGGGTTTCCGACACTAGGGGTACCCTTTTTGCAGGGATCTTTTAAGGGTATTCTATTCTATTTGGGGTATACGTGGGGTACCCTATTGTGGGAAATACACAAATATGTTGCTGAAGAATTTTAGAAACACATACGCCGGGAAGGGGTCTAGGATTAACTCTGCTTGGGGTTTAGGGTTCAGGGAAGTGCATTCAGTGAAGGCATGCATGATAGTTGCGTCATCTGCATCGAGGAAAGCAAAATGCTCAAAATCGTACTCTCGCTGCGCAAATCTTGTGTTGTTGAGAACATGTCGTTTTTGACCGATCTGGACCACTCAAAAAATGATGTGTAGACGAATCAACATCAAGGAGAAACAAATCCAAGAAGCTCTGGCCGCAGCGCTCTCTCTGTTTCATGCTGATATGCTGAAGGAACTTACCGCACTGTTCAGCAGCTTCAATATCTTCAGCATTTTGCTACCTGGCTCAACACATGCTGGTTCCGCATGAGAGGTTTGCTTTTGCAGACCTTAAACGCTAAACCCTAAACAGTTGTCTTGTTTTTTGATGCTCATTGTTCTTTGAAGCCGGTCGAGAGAAGTCTGTAAAGCCTTGGGGTATACTATACTACCCTAAACCCCTTTTTTGAAGCAATGGACTACTACCCTGAAATCCCTTAACCCCAAACCTCAAACCCCAAACCCTAAACCCTAACCCTAAACCCTAAACCCTAACCCTAAACCCTAAACCCTAAACCCTAAACCCTAAACCCCAAACCCCAAGCCCCAAACCCTAAACCCCAAACCCCAAACCCCAAACCCTAAATCATTGGGGTATTCAAGGCCTGCGAAAGCATTGGACAGCGGGCATCGCATGTCAGCTGCTGGGGTGCCAGGTGCCCTATTCTCAGGATGGGCCATACCTGTGGGTTTAGGGTTTAGGGTTTAGGGCTCAGGGTTTAGGGTTTTGGGTTGGGCCACATGCTGCTCCGGCATCAGTCCTGAAATGGCGCCGGAGTCCAGAACTCAAACTCGCACTAGTGAAGCTGCCCTCCATAAGGGATCCCCGAATGCTTGACAAGGAGTAACCTGGGAATCAAAAGGGTGCCCTTTTTGGCTTAAAGGGGGTTATAAGGGAGCCTAAACCCTACGAAGAGGAAATGTAACCCCTAAACCCTCCTAAACCCCAAACCGCCTTCCCGAGCTCCTGGATAAAGTAAAGCGCACATTTGTAAAAATGGCACGAGGAATACAAAGATCAATATCCAAAAGAAAAGGAGCGAGGATTTTATTTTTTTTGTTTTTCCTTGCTTTTCTTATGGTTTTCTGAACAGGCCCTCTGGTTCTGCCTGTCCTCCTCCTCTGGTTGGAATTCTTTTCTGTGTATTTTGCTGGATTTTTGGCTGGTTTTCAGCTTCCGCAGGCTCCTCAGCGGTACCGCGTGTCCGGAACCTGACCACATCTAATAACCCTTGGGGTAGCAACCCCCCCCCCCCCCAATTTGCAAACATGGTGCTCGCATGATGGGTTTGGACGGGATTCTTATTGTCTTAAAGCAAGCTTGCGCGCCTTCAAAAAGCCGGGGGGGTTTGGGGCCCCCCACCCCCCCCCCCCCCCATTTGCAAAGCGATGTTCGCAAAATGAGTTTTGGGAGCGATTCGTTGAACTAAAAGCACGCTTGCACACCGGGAATTCCCCCCCCTTTTGCAGTCACAATCTCGCAAGATGAGTTTTGCAAGGGATTCGTATGGCCTAGAAGCACGCTTGGGTCGGCTTCTAAAAAAGCGGGGGGGTTGGGGGGGGGGCGCAGCCCCCCCCATTTGCAAACACAATAGTTTTCAAATGGGATTTGTTTGATCTAACAGCTAACAGCACGCTTGCACGGTTTTTAAAAAAGCGGGGTTTGGGAGCGGGGGGGCAAGGCAAGGGAGTTTGTGGAGGTGGTTTGTGGGGTCTTTTTAAGACAAAGTCTCAGAGTGGTATGACAGATTGGCAAGCACAGAGGTTGGGGGTCCCAGAACTTCTAGGGCTTAGAGGTCTTGATGCGCTGAGGGGCTTCTTTGGGAGGGGGAGCGTCTGACAGCTTTTTCGGTCGACTCTTGCGACTCACCTGCTCGTGGTCCGTGTGCCATTCCTGGCCAGAAACTGGGACAACTGCGGCGGCGCCGGGAGCCTGTGAGGACTAGGTGGCTGGGTTGAACGTCCCCTAAACCCTGATTGATTGGTGCTACCTACTAACACAGGTCCCAATTGCATTTAAATTGTGTGAGAATCAAAATGCCAATCTACACATATTAACATTAGTATTAACATTATTACTACTATTATTGTTCCTATTATTATTTTCATTCTTATTATGATTGTTATTGTTGTTGTTATTAATATTACGATCTTCTGCTTACTATCATCAATATTGATACCAGAGCCCTACACCCTAAACCTACCGCCCAAACTCTTTGAGGCTTCGGACCCATTTGTGTAGGGCTTTGCAGGGCAGCTTCAGGTCGGGTGACAAGATTCTTGCGCCTCCCAAACCATTTGCAATTTTTTTGGGGGGGTTTTAGGGTTTAGGGTTGGGGGGGGGACCTCCTGGGCAGGCCTGGGGACCTCTTGACGCCCTCGCGAGCCTTTAACCCAAGCCTCCACATTCTTGATTCAATCTCGATTGGAAACGCCTCCCTCTTCGTTTCCCATAAGCTTTTCACCAAATGCAGAGTCCTATGCGCGCTCGCAATGGATCAGACAGAAGGAGACTATGAACGGAGCGCAGTTTGGCGTGAACACAGTCGCAATGGATCAGACAGAAGGAGACTATGAACGGAGCGCAGTTTGGCGTGAACACAAGTCTTATTGTTTTCCATGTTCCAGAAGGGCTCCTCCCCCTCCCCCCCCACCCGAAATCCTAAATCCAGAATGGAAACTCTCTTCCCAAACCCACCACTACACCCCAAGCTCTTTTCAACCCTAAACCCTAAACTGGGGAAGTTGCCTCGCAGCCCCCGTCGAGCAGCTGTCCTTCGAGGCGAACTGGCACCCGCGAGAATCCCCAAAGAGTCTGGGTGCTGTGGGCTTGGAGCCATAGATCCCTGGACAACCCCTTTGCAACCAGGGAGAACGCTAAACCCTAAACCCTAAACCGTAAAACCGTAAAACCGTAAAACCGTAAAACCGTAAAACCGTAAAACCGTAAAACCGTAAAACCGTAAAACCGTAAAACCCTAAAACCCTAAAACCCTAAAACCCTAAAACCCTAAAACCCTAAAACCCTAAAAGCCCTAAACCCTAAATCCTAAACCCTAACCCTAAACCCTAAACCCGAAGCCTCTGGGGTTCTCTATCCCGGCTATGCTGCACGGAAGGGGGCCAAAAAAAAATACAGCTTAGCAGGACCCCTGAACCCTAAACCCTAAACCTTACACCCTACACCCTTTTTGCATCCGGGCACCCTAAACCCTAAACCCTAAACCCTAAACCCTAGTAGGTGAGGCCGCGGGTTCCACTGAGGCTTTTGGAGGCCCGAATCTAGAGGAGCTGCACACAAGGCTCCACATCATCGGTTTTTGTTGTACGTCCTACATAGCCCTTTGAAGGAGTACATAGGGCTTGGATTATAGCTCTTGAAGGGTTTAAGGTTTAGGGTTTGGGGTTTAGGGTTTCGGGAACGGGGTGGCAAGGTCTCCTAAGCCCCACCAACTCCCTGCAAGCTGTGCGCCGAAGGTTCGCCATGTCCGCAAAAGTAAAGATGATTAGGGTTTAGGGTTTATGGTTTCGGGTTTAGGGCTTAGGGTCCAACACCTAGCGTCCCTGAGCCTTTCTATTAGGTAGTTCTTTGTGGGGAATTTAGGACGCAGGTACATTCTACCCCCCCCTGCCACATACAACCCTGAAAGCCTTTCAAGGAGGTACATGGGGTACATGATCAACTATGAAAGCAAACCCTAAACCCTAAACCCTAAACCCTAAACCCTAAACCCTAAACCCTAAACCCTAAACCCTAAACCCTAAATCCTTACCGCCCCCCAAGTCCCGTAGGAAAAAAAGCGGTCCAGAGACCGCTTCTCCGTGCGAACTTCCACAGGCCAGTCAGAGAGCTCCTCAGGCGCCTTTTTTGGGTCTTGGGTTTGCAGTGGAGTGCCCAGGAGCCCTACATTACATGGGCTTGAAAGGTGTTGCAGCCCCCCTAAACCCTAAACCCTCAACCCTAAGCCCTAATTAAGCCCTATGCCCTAAACCCTAAACCCTTTTTCTGTTTTTGCAACCGGGCTCAGTGCTGCCGGGACCTGGCTTCGTACGCTCTTAGAGCTGTAGAAGCACGCCGAGAGTTCATACCTATTCGCTGTTCAATGTTGCGAAGCTCTTCACCAATTTCTAGGTAGAGCCTGGTAAGCCGGGAACGTGCCACTGAGGGAGAGCTCATCCGAATGACATGTCAAGTGCCGTAGTCCCCGGATTGCTTCTTCATCACCAGACGCCACTGAGAAGAAGTGTTGCAGGAAAGCAGCTGGATCCTCATCAAGATCGGGGTTTGGCGAGTCTGCCGGCGAAACGTTCTGCTCATCAAGACCGTGGCTCAGCTCAGCTTTACTTGTGTGGACTCCTGCTCCACTGCATCTTGCTGCCTTGGCCCAAGGCCATTCGCACCATGAGAGCACGTCGCACCAGTGCATCTGTATGGTGAGGTGGGCCTGTGCTCGTCGGTCTAAAAACAAAAATAGAAATACCCACCTGCAAAATCAACAAACAAAAAATTAAATTATGGTAACAGTTACTAAATTCAAATTAGATTACTCATCCAAAAAATATCCTCCACAGAAGTAAAGCGCAAATACCTTTTTAAACGACAGAAAAGGTGATAGCAAAGTAATTAAAACGAAAGTGATCTCTGACCTGACTAGAACCTTCTTCTTCTGAAACTCGCTGCTCAGAGCACTTCGCAATATGACACTTGTCGTCTTTCTCAATCGCAGGACTTCGAGCGACTCCGTCACGAAAAGGTTCTGTCTCAACACGCAAGGCCTTGTACAGACTGATTTTTGCTGTGAGTATCTCTTGGCCAGGATGCATAAAGTGCCTGCCAGAGATGATGAGCCGCAACATCGTTCCCACTTCGCTTGGCAACTCGGATGGCCAAGGCAATGCAAGCGATAATTTGCACTCCAGTGCGTACGAGAGGGAGCAAGTAATCTGGGAAAAAAACATGCACGCCCACTGGGGCCTCGTAGCCGAACCCTTGAGCCGTAGCCATTCTAACTCTAAACCCGAAACCGTTCTGCGAGCTATCTTCATGGTGCACAAGCATTTCGCGCCGGTTGGGGCTTGAAGGCTATTGGGCGCAAAGACAACACACGATAAACTCTGCGGTTCGAAGAGGTATTACCCTAAACCCTAAACCCTAAACCCTAAACCCCATTTATAACCCTCGGATGGCCCTTAAAACCCTCTAAACATATTCCTGAATTTGAGCCTCTTAAACCCCATAGGGGAACATATGAAATGTCCCAAGGGCCTACCGAGGAACATGTATTCTTCATATTAAGTTGCTGTTATTGAAATTGTTGTCAACAAGAATAACAGCCAGAATCATTAGAACTTGGGATGTTCCCCCTGATTCTTAGTTGGGGGGGGGGGGCGCTGTTAAACGGGGGAACATCCCATATGAGAACCACAACGGTTTAGGGACTGCATAACAAAATATCCCATAAACGGATGGCCCCCGTCTTCCTGCACCCCTAAGTGCCCAGATCCTTGTCGCAAAGACCTACGCCCGTGTTTTCAGGGCTCGCCACACCCAAACACCCCTCAAAAACCCAAATGATGTGATGTATAGGGTGTAGGGTTTTAAGGTTTAGGGGGATCTCAAAGTCAGAGCGC